ATTTATATATATAGTACAATTATTACATGTTCGATATTTGAGAGAGAAACATTGCGCGCGAGTTTTGTGGGCAGAAAATTCAATGTTGACCGAGGCCGGAAGTCGCCGGTAACAATGAGTTTTGCCCACAAGGTCGTGTCTGGGTGGAGCGCGTTCGACCAGGATATTAGATGCTCAACATTAGCTGTCGATACTGTCACTACATTAGCAGGGCCGTAGCTTGAGCAAATTCCTAGGGGGAGGGGAAAAAATTTCATGACTCAACTGGGTAATGATGAGCGACGGGCGCAGCTCTTTATCGACGTCCTTAGTGTGGTAGGGGTGGGTCTGAGACAAGGCTTTCACGGATAAGTGACAAAAAAAATCACGTTAGGGTTATTTGCGATTATTAGCCAAGCTTATTTTTGAATTTTGCTCCAAAATCTAGGGGACAGCCGCCCCCTGCCCCCCCCCCACAGGCTACGGCCCTGATTAGTGCGCGTTCAGTCCGAGACCATGATAGGTCCACCTGCGATGTGGTCAATATGTTTTTCTGCAGGCTCTGCGGACGATGGCTAACCTTATGGAAGAGGAAGGTGGCTTCGATATATTAGCTTGGGAGACGTTCGAATCCGATCCAACGTTTGCTGTCCAATTACTGAAGGCAAGTGATGAAAGTTGTTGAATCGTCATGGATACCATGCACTAGCCACAGTGACAGAGACCGTACACTTTTACTCGTTGGCGTTTATGTTATCTTTGTTACTGCATTAATTCTCGCTCAGAAATAGCGTTTGATGACGACATAACTATGTCCCGTGTCATTACGACGAAAATAACAGTGGATTACAAGCCATATTATTATAAATTATATATTTATATATATACCATTACCTATAGTTTATCTACATCAAATAATCTCTCTTCCTAATATACGTGTTTGATGTGATCCGCAGAAAGTCGACGCTAGGATCATTGTAGCGCACTGCTATCAAGAGACCGCGCGGAAGGTTTTCTGCGAAGTAAGCATTAATGGTTTTGCTCGAGCCGTTCCATGTTTGCGTAATCATCCCTCGCGGTGAATCAGTAACGAGTAACGCATTACTATTCCTATTTAGTCGGCGTTATCATGACACACGCGCCCGCGCCCGCGCCCACGCACGCACGCACACACACACACGCACGCACACACACACACACACACACACACACACACACGTGCCCACACACACACTACACACG